AACGATAATTTGCTAGGTCGTACGTGTGTAAGACGGAGACAACACATGCGGGTTAGACGTTGGGACGGCCCTGGTGTTTATAGTGTAAAAATGTAAATAAAAGTGTCTACTATTAATTATAGGTAAATTATTGAAACTGTAAACTAAGATCTAAGAAGCAAAAATCAAATGTATTTGATATAAATTTACATCCCTAGTTATAAATATTGAGTAATAACTTAAAAATTAAATTTTCGTGATAATAATAACTATAAGGTATTAATAAGCAGGTACTTTTTAGATGGCGTTGAATCCCGTCAATAGCGGTTTGTGCTGTTTTGTTGGCAGAGGATTATTCCGTTCAATGGCCATGGGAGAATTGGTCTGGAAACAGTATGGATTTCATAAAGCCAACAAATTTAATTTTACTACTGTATGTTGGTTAAACAGCGAGAGGTAGGTGTTGATATTGCTGATTGTTGTATGTTCAAAAACATTTTTTTGTCACAAAAATCTTTTCAAAAATTATAAATATGTATGATTATAGGTGAATACAAGATTTAATTGCACTATCATAACGATAATTGCGTAATGACATTCGAAATGCACAAAAAATTATAGACCTAGCGAGTGCATATTTAACATACCAATATAATTTTTCTAAAATATCCATAAGTTGCAATTATTACTGTGCATGCGAATTTTTCATTTATCTTTAATACATATTTGAGAATGCAATTTCATTAACCTTGGGTACATACATAGAAGTTATCTCATAAAGCAGTTATGAGTTAATTATTGGACTTTGAAACTTTTTACGACACCAAAAGTGTTTACCTACGAGAAGTTATTTTGTGAAGTGTAAAAAAAAGTCCTATATGCTGTATCACAATGACCTTAAAATTACCAACTAGATTCAATTTTCCATAAGAAACCACTCTATATATTTTGATAATCAGAGCATTTTTTTAAAAGAAAATGTGTCTTCAGGAAATAATCAATATTACTATTTAGTATTTATAAAGAAGAAAAATAGTCCAATTTTTCAGGGAAGTCTCTGGAATTACTTAACCGTTTTAAAATTGCTTTTTCTATGAAAGTTAAACTATCCCTAGGATCTGTAAGTTATGTAGCGTCCCAGCATACAGGAGGATGAACGACTGGTGTTGAGGTAGATAATATATTGAGCGAAATAAGTTTAACAACTTGATTTTTGATTAATTATTATATATTTATTTGATTGCGATGTGAATAAAACACTATTATTGAATAAGAATGATTTAATTGAAAAATATTCTAAGTCCAAATGATTAATTTAAAATTGACTGGCGTGAAGGTTCTTGCACTGACTGGTGGCTCACGTCTGATTTGGGTCTAATCGGGGCTCTTCTATATAGTCCTACTCTCTGCGTTTCCTCTCCTATCGATAATATAAATATGTATCCATGGTGGAGTCGCGCAAAAGCGTACGCGTGTATTATATGATATCGCAGCTTCCCACGGTCGTGCGACCGGTGACATCCTGATTATTCGCGATACGTAATTTCAATAACCCGATGACATTAATCATCTCTCTAGGTATGCCTGTCAATACCACGATTTTCGAAACGGTAGTCGAAAATTAAGGCGGTTAAAGGAGAAAAAACATACAATTTCACGATTTCACTATTTTATAATATTTATTTATTATATATTTTACGCCAATTGGCAGTTAACAATAACTATTACATATTATGTAGGTAATAACAATTAAATAAAAAAATTAACAGTCATAAATAGGGCCCGGATTTAAATGCACTTAAAACCATACACTGATATGCTCTAAAAAATAGCCAAAAATGCCCTTAAAAATGCATTTTACCTCAAAAATGACCTTAAAAATGCCATATATATTTTTTTATACAAATTGTAATTTATAAATGAGACATAATTATTATTTTATTAAAAAAAAAACTGAAAATTTGAAATATTGACTGATATGATGCTGACTTACTAAATTTTGAGCATTGCATTGAACAATAATATAATGTTTAATATTTTCAAACACCAATGATCTTCTATTGTCCGAAAGAATATTTTTGTAAGTGGAAAAGCTCCTTTCGATGTCCACGGATGTAATAGGAGCAAATTTCATGTGACAAATATTGTCTGAAGTTAATTCTTCTGATATTTTTGTACGAGAAGTTTCTTTGCCTTCTAAAATGTTTGCAATTATTTCCATTGTAGTATAACCACCATTTTTTTCTAAAACGGTTTCAAATTTTTTCTTTATTGCTTTGCCTTGACTACTTGTATTTGTATTATTTAAAATATAAGTTTTCGCATTATTTACAATACCAATTGCCTCAGTTAAGGATATTCCTGATGCTTCAAGGCGTGTTATACTACTTGGTATATTTCCATAGTTTGGTTTTATAAATATCAAGTTTGTTTCAATTTCTTTGTCTGCTATTAAACGTTGTGCTTTTTTGATAGCTATGGCATCGTTTTCTTCAACTGCATCAATGACTGTTTTAATGAATTGAAAATAGTCACAGTAGTATACTGAAGCTTCTATCCAAGTACCCCAACGTGTCAGTATTGGTTGAGGTGGTAAAGGAATAGTCGGGCCCATGCATTTAAACTTTAAAACTCTTGAAGGTGCTTTAAAAAAAAAAAATTTTACATTTGATATCAGCTCATCTACTTAAGGAAAATGTTCACGCACTTCTTCAGCTACTCTACGTAGACCATGTGCGAGACAAGTGACGTGTTCCATTTTCGAGTATAAAGCTTTTATGTTCTTACCTGCTTTAACTATGTACGGAGCTGCATCACTGACGAACAATAAAACATTATCGTGTTTCACTTCGTTTGGCCATACAATAGCCATCGATCTGTCAAATAATTTCGTAATAGTGCTATTATTAGCTTTTTCCAGTACTTCGCAATTTAATAAAAAAGATTTTCCTGGTTTAGATATTTCCAATGTACCGACTATTACATTGGCGACATAACGGCCTTCGACGTCAGAGGTCTCATCAATACTGACCCATAGTTTTTTATTTTCAATGTACTTTCGAATAGAATCAATAGTTTCATTAAAAAAACATCGACCCACGGAATTCTTTCGTAATGCAGACTCATCTGGTATATTTTTGGCTGTATATTTTTCTAAAAAGTTGCAAAATAATTTGTTCTTCAATTTATTGAATGGAATATTCGCAGATAGCATAGCCATACAAAGATATTTATTAAACGAATAATTATCATTGCTTAACACATCACTTAAAAGTTGTTGTGGTTTTTCATTTTTTTATTTTTCATCGACGTTAATGCATTAATATGTTTTTCTCTTGATATAGGTTGCTGAATTGAAAATTTTTTTTCAGCCGCGACTTTAATATTGCAAATTTTACAAAGTAAAATAGTCCCATCTGTTGTAAAGACGTCCCTTCCGAATTCGTTCACGTAGTCACGCAAGCGAGAAGAAGTAGATGATTTTATTTTGGGCATTATTGAACACACTATTTAACACATTAAAATCACAAACACACGTAATACGAGCAACGACTGCGATATAACACGAACTGACTGATTATTTGTTATTTGACCGAATACGGGTGACGATCTACAGTCAATAATAAAGTAAGATAAGATAAAAACTAAATCGAAAAAAAAATGACAATTTGTATGGAAAAATCCGATAAACCTTCTTAAGTATCAAGAAAATAATTTATCTTTAGATCATTTTTTGAATAGTCCAAGTTTTATATCTATATTGAACAAATATGCATTAAAAACCAATAAAATGACCCAATAATGCTAAAAATGCTCTAAAAATGAAAAAACGTCGAAATATGCAAAAAAATGCAAAATAAAATTTGTAGCTTTCAAACCCTCGTTACATGAAACGAATTATGTACTTAGAAAGCATTGTATAATCTGATCAACCAATCAACCAAAAAAATATGCACTTTGCATTGAAATCCGGGCTCTAGTAATTAAGTATAAGAACTCTATAACAAAAACTAGAGCGTACAAATAACAAAAGTAGCCTGAGAGCGCAAACAAAACAACTAGGGAACATTTAGATTAGTAACTCTGAGCATTCTGTGAAGTGGATGATTGTAACCATAGGCAATAGAGTGATGGGGAACATAAAACTGGTCTAGGTTTCGTATTCCATGGGTAGGAACTTTGAATGGAATTACAGGAAGTAAATTAGGAGTGTCTAAAGTACCATTTAGAAAGGAAGTTAAAAAGTGTACATCTATATCGTTGCGGCGAGAAGAAAGAGATGGGATATTAAACGTATTACGTAGTTGGTCATAGTCACGGGGGGGGACACGTCAGTTTTACTCGCAAATGCTAAGTAGCTTAGTAATCGATTTTGTACCTGATCTAGCTTATGCTGGTGTCGTGCAAGGTATGGGTGTCATACCACAACTCCATACTCGAGAATTGATCGTACCAACGTAATGTAGAGGGAACGAAGACAGTTCACTGATGTGAAATGTTTTGTGTTGCGTTTAATAGATCTGAGAACTTTAAGAGCACGTGCTACTATGGTATCAATATGTTGGTTAAATGATAGATAGGTACGATGTATAGAAGATACCGAGGTCTTTAATTTGGAATACTTGTTTAAGTGGAAAGCCATTGATGGAATATGTTCCATTTGTAGACGAACGTGATTTAGTGAAGGTAATTGAGTAACATTTGTCAAGATTAAGTACCAGTCCAAGACAATCTACTCAGATAGAAAATAAATTAAGCTCACTCTGTGAACAGCCTAATCAGCCGTAGAGTCAACTTTCAAAAATAGTTTGATGTCATCAGCAAAGAGAAGACACTTAGCCCAGTTAAAGTGTGGGACAGAGAATTTATAAAAAGAGAGAACAGCAGCGGACTTAAGTGCCCCCCTTGAGGGACACTTGACGGAATATTGATTTCGCAGGATGATACCCCAGCCACTCTTACAAATTGCTTCCTACCTGTAATGTAAGATTTGAACCATCCAAGCAGCTGGTATCCAAGGCCTAGACTAATTCGTAAATAAGCTGTTCATGGTGGACCGTATCGAATGCTTTTTTGAAATCAGTGATTATGACGTCTATTTGAGAACCAGAATCAATATTCTCAATAATGTATGATAGAAAGGAAACACCATTTGTACAAGTAGGTTTACTTGGCCTGAAACCATGCTGTTCATCAATTAATATATAATTAAGGCTACGTTTAATACAATGATAAACAACAGATTCAAATACCTTGGCAATATGTGAGATTATTGATATTGGTCTGTAATTAGTGACGTCCGAAGCATCACCAGATTTCAAAACAGGAGTTGCAGAACAGATTTTCCAGATATTAGGGAACGTACATTCATCCAGAGACCTTCTAAACAAAAGGAACAACGGAATATAGATAGACAAACGACAATTGAAAAGAAAAATGGCCGGAATTACATCCGGATCTGTGGAGGTTTTATTGCACAGGGTAGATAGCGTTGAAAAAATATTCTCCGGTGAGAATTTGAAATCTGATAGGAGATCAAATGGCAGGCTATAAGGGCTATTTGAATGGGACTGGTTTGGGGTAGAAGTACCAAAGAATGATTTAAAGTAGTCAGAGAAAAGGTTAGCAGATTCGGAAGGATTGTTTGACGAATGATTGCCAAAGCATTCTGAAACTGGAATTTCAGGATGCTGTTTAAGATCACGTGCATATTTCCAGAAACTATGTGGATAGCTGGACAATGCTTTTTCAATATACGCGTGGTAAATCGACTTCGAGAGATACTTACAATTTGCCTGTAGTTCAGAGAAAACATTATAGTCTAACATTATAGACCTGATTTTTTTAAAGTAAGATGGGCTCGCTTTTTTTGAAAAATTAATATTTTAAGTTCAAGGGATACCCAGAGAGGAAATTTATGTTCGTGAAATGTTTTGAAAGGTATGATAAAATAAATATATGATAATATAAAGGCCTCCGATAGCTTACTATTAAAGAAAGAGACAGCGTCGTTGGCGCTACGGTTAGAAAGTTCTGATACCCAGTCTGTACGTAATAAATATTCATTTATAGGTTCATAGTCTACATTCTTAAAATTCCGAAACGTTCTAGGTGTATCGATACCCCACGGAGGTTCTAACATTCTAACTATTGACAAATAATATTATCATATCAGAAATTGTTAATTACGAGTTAGGGCATTCTTGCTTTTGAATAAAGTACTAAAAGTTTATACCAATTAATTTAATCATTAATTGTTTCATTCCATCTGTTGGTTAAAATTACATAGGAAAACATATATTATATTTAAATAATTAGAATGTACAAGGTGTTTTAATCTTATGGAAATACAAAATACAAAAATGCGTTTTTCTCAAAATCGTTCTCCGGTGACTAACGGCGTTTTCGTTTATGACGGCAGTACAAATAAAAATAAAATTTCACATTTTCAATTAAATAAAATTGATGTTTTTTTTTATGCCATAAGTAATCTGAACAAATCGCTTATCCGAACGACCCCTTTCCCCAATCTCGTTCGGATTATCGAGACCCTACTGTATTGAAAAAACAGTAGAAATATTTGGACTAGTTGATGTAATTTTTTTAGGTCAAATATTTGAAGAGCTTACACTTATCAAGCTTTCTTTATCTGTTGTTAGCTTTAATTAAATTTATAATGTATGTAAAATGCTTATAAATTCTGAGATTAAAAAAAATTGGAATATTATTAGAATTTTTTTAAAGTATACCACGATCTGATTCTCAAGTTGAGATGGTTTTTTCGTAAATGAAACTAAAATGGACTGATTTTAAAAACTCTTGTTCAGTAGACTTGATAAAAAGTAAATTAATAATAACATTAAATATAACGCCTTCTAACAGTAGTTCCCCACGTGGCAGCGAGCGAACGCAAAACAGTGCGTGGGGCTCGATCACCATGAAATAAAATTAGTGTAACAAAATAAGCATACAACAGCCGGCAGCACGTCCTAAGGCTTGTACCCAACAGTTCGTTGCTGGTCATCATTGGAGGAGATAAGCTGCCTCTCGAATATTCTGCATCCGATGCGCTGCTGGTAATATGGAAGCTTCTATGGAAGCTTCGGGGACGCAAAAACGCTCCCGTGTTCGAACAATTTCTTTATTAATTATTTGATAAGTATAAAATAACAATATTAGAATATCTATTTTTTAGTAGCATATATGCAATACTTAAACTGACAAAACCATACAAAAAAAAACTTTCAATAAATAAATACGGGTGTCATCCTTAGTCAATAGATTGTTTCTGTTATCATAATTTCGTAGCAAAGAGGGATCACATTGCCAATATCATCAAATTACAGATACGGTTCCAACTTTTAGAGTTCAACACTTCATACTCTAATGTCCAATTAGCTAATCGAGTATCGATTCTGTATTGTTTTAAGTTTTCATAGGCCCAAAATCAGACTACGAAATATTGATATAGTTAAGACTAGCTAAGTTAAGAACTATTTAACAATTAGCCATCTGCCCAATAAAAAAAAAAATAATAATTCTGATTGCAAACTGAATTGACATTTTTAACGCATAATGAATTGCAAGTTATCAGCTAGATATAGAAATACGTATATAAAAATATAGATGTAAACAGATTATCAGAGCTCTTTACATTAACTTAATTCTAATTTTGTAAGCTATCCACATTCATCGTTGTAATTTTAACAGGGTTTTAGCGGGTACCATCGACGGGCGATTGTTTTTGATTGAAAATGGTGAATTGAAGTCCGTCTACAATATTCAGACTCTCTCAGAGTTCGACCCGAATGTGACAGGCCCAAATCCGTTGTACGTACGGCCAATATTAGATGGCCAGGACGTGAAAATTCAATATTTTACGCCAGTTAAAAATGGACTAATGTTTGTAGTGAACGGTTACCAAGTTTACTACTACAAAATGAAGGCGAATCGGTAGTCTGTGTAGCTAAATTAAACCATGAATTTTCGTATTTTCTTTATGCGTTTCATTATGGGCTTAGATACAAGCAAAGCATCGTATTTCATGTACCCAGGAACAGCGAACGTCAAGTAAATATCGGTGAAGGCAGTGATAATGCTTATGGTAACAGTAACGGTGATGGTGATGGTGATGGTGATACCGATGATGGTGACTGTGGTGATGGTAGAGAGTCAGATACTATAAATACATTGAGCGTTAGCCCAAAAAACAAGAGACTTGTGTGCGTCACTGGCAATTCTCGGTTGTATTGGTCGTCGACGGAAGGGAAATCCGGAATGATGGACGTGAGCATTTCGGGTGATATTGGGTGAATAGTCGTCAATTCCTCAGTCGGTTGATGGATATAGAGGATGTGTCATCCAGACCTAGACACGGATAAACTAGGAGATGGGGCTAAAGATTTTTTGCTCAGTCATCAAATTGATTTTAATTGTCATACTTGTTATTACCTGGGAACTGTTCTATTTTTGTCAATCTATTATAAGATTAATTACATTTTTTAACTGGTATGTTACTCAATCAACTTGAAATTAATATTTTAATAGGTAATTTGTTTCAAACTCTGTTCTTTTAAAAATTACAAAAATGCTTTATTGTTTCAATATAATGACTTACGAGAAATGAGATATATTTTTTTCATACTAAAACAACTTAATTTGATATAAGAGTGAATATGTTTTTACGTATTACATAATACATAATTTTTTTTCTACTGGAAGATTTTGAAGGGTTTACATTTAAAACACAGGGCGTACCTTATTTCAAAAAAAAAAAAAATTATTTACATCTGCCACTTTGAGTTGTTACCTATAAATATATGCTTTTTTTTCTGACGACAGGTAGAGCTTGAACCATTTGGTGAGACGTTGCACCGTGGTGGTGTTTTGGGTCTGTCGGTAAGTGACTGGAAACCCATCTTTATGACTTGCGGCAAGATTGACCGGACAGTGAAATTGTGGGACTACATGAGACGTACGTTGGTGCTGTCTCAGTGCTACGACGAGGATGTGCACGACGTGTCGTTGCACCCAACGGGGTCTTACGCTATAGTAGCTTTTCAGGATCGAGTCATGTTCAACGTTATATATGACTCGGTTGCGTTAAAACCACGCCAGGAGTTCGTCGCAGCCAATTGCCATTTAGTGCGGTTCAGCTTATCCGGTCACATGTTTGCGGTCGTCAACGACCTGATCATTGACATATATTGTTCGGTGACATTCCATAGACGTTTTACGTTAATTGGTCACAAAAACAAGGTAAGTAGCCGAGTAAGTTTAGAAGTATAGGAATCATGACCGATGACATACTTATTAAGATATGGAATATGCATAGAGAGAAAAATAGTTTTATCATTGACTGAAAGAGAAAGACTATTTGATTAATTATTGCATACGAGGTGTGGCAATAAAATAACGAGACTTTTTTAATAAGTTATTTATTTTTAAAATTACAAAATTTTATAATTTAATGATTATCACCTCCAAAGTACCTTCCCTCAGCATCAAAACACTGTTGTATACGTCGCGTTGCTGCCATTCTTGAAAACAGTGTTGCCAATCGCATTCATTCATGTCATATATATTTTATTCTATAGCACATAATTATATTATTCTTGTGGTAAAACTTATGGCTAAATATATATATATATTTAGCCATGGTAAAACTAATTTTATAGATTGTGTACTTATTAATCGGAAAAAAATATCTTCTATATATTTCCTGTGTATCTTAATTCGTGGTAAAAATTGAATTCTCATATTCAAGTTCAAATTTGATAAGAATGTTCGTATTAAACCGTAGCTACGCGTAGTACCGTACGAATGTTCGCTGTCATTTATATTTTATATTGCGTAGTACGTACCCGTGCGTTCTTTTAGAAAAATGTAGTATGGGAACGCTAATTAAAATCAAAAGCTAGTATAGGAGCTCAGTTCCCATGCGTTCCCGCCCAAGTCGATCCTACCGTAGGACGTCCAGAACGATCATCATCTTCGACGTTCTCTCTTCCACCACAAAACCGTTTGTGCCATTCAAAAACACGAGCTCTTGGTGAACATTCTTCACCATAAGCTTCGCATAACATACAAAACGATTCAGCGGCAGTATTTTTTAATTTAACACAAGAAATTTAATGTTAACACGTTGTTCGATTTTTATATCTAACATTTTTCGGCAGTACCTATAGTCGAACAGTATTTATATCAAGGCTACTAACGTATAAGAAAATAAATGGATTTCATCAGAGTTAATAGTCATTTTAGATTAGTGTTTTCTAATCATATTTCAATAAATGGTTTATATAATATAACGTTAATAGTTTAGATTATATTTAGAAAGTCTCATTATTTTATTGTCACACCTCGCATTTAAAAAATTCTTTGATGAGTAATTAATGTAAATAATTTTCATAACACGATTGCTGTTATACTTTACTCCGATAGCCATATCATGTAAATCATTATAACTAAGGGTTTGAACTACGGTGATTTCAAATGTTACTTAATAGATCTTAATATTAGATCACGGATCTAGTTTGGGCCAACAACGACTGGAAGTTAGTGTCGTGTGACATCGATGCTCGAGTGTGTATCTTTAATTTGTACACAAATGAACACGTGATAGATATCAAATTTTGGAATAAGACGTTTGTAAGTCTGGCTGTATCAAACGATATGAAAAAGATTTATACAGCCGCGCCAGATGGAAGGGTCAGGGAGTTGTATCATCGAACGGTATGTACTTAATATTCACATTACAATATTTTATTTATGGGCAAATAATTTAAGTACCTACTATCCGATGTTATTAAATTCACGTTTTCGTTATTTTTCCAATTATCTGATGATATTCGTTATTTAAAGCATAAATAGTGATATAACTTAATTTTTTTGATAACAAAAAATATTAACTGTTATGTCTTTATTTATTTATTTAAAACATTATGGGCAGAGCCCAACATATTTTATGAGTACATTAATTATTCATTTACATTTAAATAGATCGATTTCTAATCTAATAGACAAAAAAAAAAAATAAATAACAATAAGATTAAGATCAATATGTTCAAACAAGAAATGATGGTGTTTATTAGCTATGCACATCAAAAGAAATATTGGATTATAACGAGCATATTTTTTTGAACGATTCTGTATTTATAAGGTTGTATGAGATCGGAGGAAACGCTGTGGTGCTTTAAATTTGATATTGAAAAGAAGAGTAGAGGCGTTTATTGAACCATCCAAGAGTTAATGTAAAAAAGATAAATTTACAGTTGATCATCTATCGAAGAGTGAAGTTAGGTTTAGTTTTCTGAACACAAGGAAATAGTTGTGGAGGGGTATTACCAATCTTTAGTACATAGGCAACCAAAGACAAAAAACAAAAAAACGCCCCTCTCTAGTTTGAGGGAGCTATAAACTGTATGAGGTCCCATATGACGAAGCCATATTCTACAATAGATCGAACTAAGAGAATAGCTAACATATTCAATCTAAAAAACTCGCCCAGGTTCTTTTATTGTGCTCTAGTATCAACCCGAACTTGATTATGACTCAACTGTTTGAGATTTGTATGGTTTTAGACCACAGCCATCAACTCGAATGACCTTAAAGAAAGTATATAGGTACGTTTTAAAAACCATAAATGAAAAATTAACTTTTATCCCCCTACCATCTCCTAATACTTAATAAATTTGTGATAACCAACAATATTGATAATTTGAAAGGATATCGATATCGTGGGTATTTTCTTAGAAACATCGATATCGATATCTAAAAATAATTATTGGAAATATCGTGATATCAGAACAATTAAGTTCACGGATTTACACTTTAATTATAATATACACTTTAATTACTTACTTCTGTTGACTAAATCAAATATTGCATATTAAGAGGACGCCACACCGAAAGTATAACGTATGCAACGGCCGATAGAACGCGCTTTTAGGTGTTTTCGCGATCCGCAAGCGCGCGACGTTTAAGCCACGCCCACTAGTAGTAGCCGGCGGTCGGCCGACAATTGTGTTCATACGAGAGCGACGTTTATTATTATCTAAACCTTTGTCTCTGACGGATCGCGTAAATATACACGTAAAATGTAAATGCAACTGTATTATATTTAATATCCGCGGGTACATATACGATTTGTATTTATTACATTATTAGATACTTCATAAAATATTTTTAATACAGTAAATAATTTATAACAATAACCAAAACTAATATTACCCTTATCAAAGTATTAGTTTTTTAGTAGGTGAATATATTGCGTACATTTTACGTTATACTTTTATACGCGTACCTACTAACACTTATATATTTTAGGTAATTCAAAAAAAAATAGAATATTGAGCATAATAACCTGACCCTACTTAACACACTTAAGAATATACAATTAAATCATTTTATAATCTAATGTTTAATTATAAAAAATATTTAAAAAAAAATTATTTCTTTTTCGTTTTAAATAAAACCTAAAAAAAAAAATATGATTTTATAAACACTTCAGCATCGGTAATTTTTAAATGTCGTTGAACTTATATGCTTATAATTTTAATTAGTTTTCCATTTTATTGTTCCAAAATAATTCGTCATATTTTATAGTCAAATGCGAGTCCATGATTCAGTGTGAAATGTGAATGATAAAATAACATACATTTTTACTTACTAACACGCGGCGCGATCTGTTTTAACGCAAGTTACCACCATTTCTTTATTAAAGTCCTGTTTATTTAAATATTTAAGTATATTTATAATATACCTATTTTATAATGATAAGCGAAAAATTATGATTTTTCGTAAATTATACTATTAAATAAAAATGCCTACCGCTGTTTTATGATTTTCCATAAAACCAAATCTAAATATTATAGTTGAAACAAAAAACAATAGTTGGTTAATCATGTAGTTATTAAAAATTCTTTTAAAATTCAATAAATCACGTATTCACGTGACTTACAAGTTTATTTTGCACTGCTTTAGTGGCGCTCAATGTATCTTTAGCCACGAATGGACATTTAATTTCCAAAATACCGTCTTCACCAACAAGACCATCTAAAAGTAAAAATAAAAATTGTAATTAATATATTAGGTAGAAATGCAGGTCCCTAGATTATAACCAATAATAAATTATAATTTATAATGTATTACCAGGACTTGCTGCTAAATAAGGAAATTCGTTGTCTGTAAAGAGTCCACAAAACTGCACTGTTTTACTAGTTAATTCTTCAAATTAATTTCTTGCTAAAGATTCCATCTCAACTCCGTGCATCATTTCTTTTGATAAAAAGTTTGGTCTGTATAATAACGAGTATACTTTTTTCCGACAACTCGTATTTGCTCTCATTTTGCAAATGTCACCAAAATTAGATGCCGTCAGTCTTTTTTTTCTTTCATTATGCCATTATTGGTTATGGCTTTGTTCTACAGTACGTAGTTGTAACTCATTTCTATCAACTTTGCTTAATTTTTTCAAAAATTCAGTTTTTTTTTCATTTAAATCATCCAAATCGTCTTCAATTGGCTCTGCCATTCCATAATCCTCGTCGGGTCAATTAAAACGATTTACATTGGGTTTACTTCATCTTATGCCATTTTCAAAAAGTTTTCTTCGTCGCATTATTGTTTTTTTTCGTATTCTATTCAAATTATTAGAATATCGTTTAGCTTGCATACCTAAAATTAAAAAGATAACAATTTGTAATACGAGATTTGTGAATATTATGCATTAAAATAATATTCACATTTCACGTGCAGTAATTTAAATGCATTAAAGTAAGTATTATATTTACCTGGACTAGAGGATATAATTTGTTTTTGTATTGTCCGTAAATAATTGTTGGAGTTGAAAACTACTACTGCAGCCTCAACTCTAGTCTTATAATTATTTTTTTGAATGAAGTTTATTCTTTTCCCCCCTACATGCTTATTTATCGAACTATTAAATTGCTCGCAAGGGTTGTTATCTGCATTTTCAATAAGACTGTCAGCGTTTACAATCAACCGATATATTACATTGTTAATTTCTACCATCATCCCACTTTTTTCAGCTTCGAGAACCAAATTTCGTTCTTCTGTTTTAGGTCCAAAAATAGGTAGCGCAGTTATTATGCTAACCCAATCTATGATACGGACAATTTACTATATCTTTTATCAAATCTAAAAATAAAAATATGTTTACAATAAATTATACAATTTAATTGTAATTCAATAAAATAAAATTACCTTTCACTTTTTGCTCAACGGATGAATTATTTTTTAAATGATATTTAATCGCTTTAKTAATGTCGGATCAAAAACGTAAAATATCGGTAGTTATAAACATTCTTATAGATATGGGATAGTCTGTTCGTTTAGCAAATGCTGTCAATTTGTGCAAAAGTTGTCAGTAGATGGTTTCTGCATTCGATTTTTTTAATAATGAAATCGTTACCATATGGTTGAACATCATTTAATCGTCTTGACACACTACTGTCACCATCGCCTTTTGTATATATATTTATTAATATGCAGCGCCGGATAAGGAATGAAAATATATACATAATATATAAGTACAGATATTATTTTAATAATGATTTGGTCTTATTACCGATTAATTTATTGTATTTTAAACCATGCATGTATAAACTACTAGAAAATCCTTCCACGACAGCATCGGCCTCCATGGCAGTCGAAGTTTTCTTCCAGTTTAAAAAACACCTGTGGGTAGATGGATTTTGTTTTTTTGTGAATGATTGCTGACACACTGAACAATATATATTCCTAATCCCAATGAATAAAACTTTTTTTGTATTTTTCCCTATAATTGTAGTCTACAGAATACATAAAATATAAAACAATTTTACACATACGACATACAAAAATATTCTTTTTTATTAGAATATCAAAAAATAAAATTTATGTTACATACAACTCCAGAAAATGCATTAAACATGGTTTTATAGGACCGTTTTGACCACTGCCCGTCTGCGATTACTGTATACATAGGTACTCCATCTTTATCCACATTGTCGTTTTCTAATGCTATCATTCGTTCTTCGTCGCCGGCTTTTGCCATTTCAATTGACTCATTTTTAACCCATAAGCTATGTGCCATAACACTTGATATATTATTTTTATTTAAAAAACTAGAGTCACTAATTACTCTAGCTTGTGTACTATGTGCAATTAACAGCAAATTACCATCAAAACATGTGCTATTTAAATTATTTAAACTCAAATCCGAGTTCATATCATTCAAATTATTTTCATTCGTCAAAATGTCATTATTATCAATGGTATTAATATTTAAATTAACATTTATAGACGGCTGATAATTATCATGTTCAGATAAATTAGTTTCCAAATTGTTCACATGAGTTCCAGAACTAAAAATGAAAAATAAGTCAGCTATAAGCAGTACCTAAAAATGTGTCGATAAAAAATTTTTGGGTGCTCAAAAAAACTTGAGAATTTAATACAAGGCTTCACATAAGTCGTTTTAATTTTAGTTAAAAAAAAAATAAAAATCACATTTTTTTTATAAGCGTTCAAAGTTCAAATTTTTACGAAATAGTCAAAATCACGAAAATGTACAAGTAATTTTGAAGTTGAAAATTAATAAAAATGTTTGTATATTTAAGGTTGAAAAATTAAACTCTATGTATTCATTAAGTTTTCCTTCAAATATCTATAGAGAAAATTCGAAGTGTCATTATAGGAAAAATGTTATGAGCGCTTGAATTTGAAATTAA